CTGTTCTAGCCTGTTTGCATTGCTGCTGTTTCTCTAGGGAGAACTGAAATCCCCAAGTATTGCTAGATTGACGGTCGCAGGTATTTCATATCGTTAAATGTTATATAGTCTTACGTGCATTAGTATGACACTATAAGGATAGTTCCTAGTATATGGTTCAGTCTGCTTAAGTCGACCCTGCTTGATCGCTAGGTAGGCGAACATGCGATAAAACGACCACGAGAAGACTGAGTGCCCTGAGTATAATCGCAACAAGGACCTCAGTAGACAGAGACATTTTGCAAAGCCGATTGATAACCTAGAAAGAAAAGAAAAGAACAGCTTGCGCCTTATTAGCCGACCTGGTTACTACTGTTCCTAAAAGATAAGTTTAAGGGACCTTAAGAGACAGCAATTGCAGGGCGCCCCTTATATAGACTGAGGTGTCCCTGACGTCGCTGTTAAGACCTATAACTTACTTATAGACCTATAAAACACTTATTAGTAGATTTCAGTCTAGAGTTACTAACTGCATTATGTTCATAAGAAGATCCTTATCTGTTTGTGCACTCGATCAGAATCTCAAAATGAAGGCTCTGCCTGCTCAGCTACATATTACTGCTAAGTACTAAACCTGAGATTCTTACGCACCATAGCAAACAAAGTGCTTATCCATGCTGGCTAGGATTACAGATCATATCGGCGCTATCGCCTCCAAAAGTGTATAAATTGCAAGCTGGGCAGTTGCAGCAGTGTTTAATCCAGGGCAACAGATAGGGCCTAATTGCTTATAAAAAGAAACGATATATTATAATTATATCTTATGATTAGTTTCCTGCTCAGCTGAGCAATATAGGTCCACACACCCAACCTGAACATAGCATCACTTTTCAAAAGATAATTAGTCCCCCCTTATAGCACAGCCTGCTATATGCATTCTATATGTTACGCACACTTAAAGGGAACAGCGGTGTAGGATGCAGCAGTCCTGAGAACGACAAGTGGAAGTCTCTGAGGTATACTAGGTGTATTGCGAACTTTTGACACCAGACTGCCTATAGGTTTTAGCGAGCTAAGCTATGCCGCCTAGCCTGTCAAAGAGAGTTTGTATTATCATGATAACGCTCTGGGAGAGCCAGCCTTATGCAGCAATCAGTAACAGCCTGCCTCCACATAAGATTAGATCATATATGTAATTTCCTCATTATGTTGGTACTAAAGCGTGCGAAGCAGCTAAGAGGCATAGGACATCCTGTAAGGTGTTACGGTCAGCTATCCGACAGTAGGGTCTGCTAACAGAAGCTGGGGATTGATACGTTCTAACAGTACACTGGGTCGTGGTCGTAGGTCGTAGTTCGTAGGCTGTAGTAGATCGGGTCTTCAGAGGCTAAGGTGATCAGTCTTAGACTCAACAAGTGATTCGCAGTGAAGGTAAGCTGAGAGTATCCGTGAGGATGAATACTAAGTTGATTGCTGAAGAGCTATGGAAGTCTGACCATGAGCTGGGCTCAGGGTCATACTATATATAAGTTCTGAATAGTGCCCTTGTCTCTTGTTACCGTTCCTAGTCCTGACGGGTTCCGTTCACGCTAAGTACGGCTTCCGTATTCTTGGCGTACGGATCTAATCTCTTATCTTATCGTCATGTGACTTATACTATAGTTCTTCCGTTTCTAAGTGAGTCCCTGTTGTTCCTGTGATCCTGCAGTATAAATGTCCTGTCCTAGCCGCCTGACGCCTGAGTGGGTCGTTCAGCTGTTATCCTTGTTTACAGGTCGTAACATCAGGTCCCCTCTCCAAAGGTCTTATCCTCAAGGCCCAACATAAGTAGGTCGTTAGTCCCAGGTTAGGGATCCGTCAATCATGCTTCCTGATTTACTTATGATGCTGACACTATATCAGGTCGCGTTCAAAAATCTAAGTCAGCGCTTCGTTCTGCTTGTGAAGACGTTTTCTATCGCTTTGGTTCTGACGACGTCATGCCTTGTACTTGATGTTTTCGTGCGAAGCGTACGTGTCGCATGGCGGAGGGCGCCAAAACTTGTCAAGGTTGTAAGAACCTGAAGCGTCCTTATGACGGTCTGGTGGTCGCATCGAGTTGTGAGTCTTTTTGTCGTGTCCTGCTGGGTGCGTCTGTGCTGATTGGTCGTAGTGAAGAGGCTAAGCAATCAGCGTTAAGAATAGGAGGAGAAGGAGGAGCAGGCTACTGATGCCTTGCTGGACCTTTATGAAAAGTTAGCATAGGTTCAGGCTGAGGTGGCTGAAGCAGCTGGTCGGTTATTACGTATTTATGCAATTCGTAAGAAGGTTAAGGAGCGTCATATAGAGATATTTTCTCAGGGTATGCAGGAGTTAGAGGAAGATGATGTTCTTCCTGCCTTAGATGTATATGAGAGTGGCGTAGTGGGCGATCTTTAATTCCTTGGTGTTGAGAATGATCTGGATTAGCAGAGTTTTGGTGTTGGTGAGGAGTTTGCAGATCTTGGTCCTTTGGTCGGTAGTGATCGGTTGGTGCCCTCAGGGGGTTCTTAGTCGTACTCTGGTGTTCCTAGGCGAATAAATAGTTTCCCTTGTCGCAGTCGATCTGCTTCAGTAGGTGGTCGGGTGAAGCGATATAGGTGTCTGATTCGTTTATATCTAACGTTCTTCTGGGCTAATATAATAGGTGTTAGTGTAGCTTCTCGTTCTTAGTGTTGTTGCCAGTAGATCATAAGTTCTTCTGCTGCGTTAGTGATATTTTTAGCTGGTTCCTATATGTTGTCTTTATATCTGTATCCTTTCTATTTGACGAGGTATTAATACCCTTCTGGTTCTTTGAGGTGGTTGATAATCCGTTCGACTTTATACTCTGGTTCGTTATCTTTGATGATGATAATATCATTTGTTTATGATCCACATAGTGCTGGTTCGAGGAGTGAGACATAGAATACTAGGTGACACTTCATGGTTTCTAGGAGTCCTAGTTTGTAGTTAACTGGTGAGATTACTCGTGAAATTTTAAAAGGTCTAAGTTTTTTATAATTAAGTTTGTCGTTTAGTTGTTTTGTTTTGATGTTTCGCCATATAAGATAGGCGCTATCTCCCTCTTTTAAGGTTGGTCCCTCAATCCTTCGTTTGTTGCTGAATTTTGTCATTCTTTGTCGTATGAATTTGAGTTCTTTGCGTGCGTTTTCCTGGATATCCTTGATTTAGCGTATTGAGGCGACAGCTTTTACTGCAGCTAGGCCTGTTTAGGGTTCTCCATAGGCGGTTGGTTCGAATCTATAGTTGAGGTAGAAGGGGGATTCCTTGGTACTTTCTCCTATTGCGCTGTTGTAGGCGAACTAGGCTATTAGTAGCAATACAACCTAATTGTCTTGGTTGTAGTTGACGTAGGCGCAGAGATATGTTTCGAGGATTTAGTTAATTCGTTCTGTTTGTCTGTCAGTCTGCAGGTGGAATGCAGTGGACATTAATTATTTGATGCTGAGTTGTGATGTGATTGACTTCCAGAATTTAGAAGTGAAGATCTTATCTCTGTCTGATATAATCTCTTTAGGCGTTCTGTGGTTAGCGATGATATACTTAAGAAATATGTAGGCATATTCTTCAGCGTTACTTACTTCTTTGTATGGGATGAAGTAGGTGTACTTCGTAAGTCGGTCCATAATGATAAGAACGCTGTTAAAGTGTGTTCCCATAAGAGGTTCTCGAGACTTCGGTAGCTTGACGATGAAGTCGAGGGATATGGATTGCTAGGCGGTTTGCAGCATAGGTAAGGGTTGTAGCATGCTGTACGGCTGATGTTGAGCGGGTTTGCTTTTCAGGCAGACCTCATAATCCTTAATTGCTTTTGCCACTTGTTCTCTGGTGACCTTTTCTCTATATTGTTGTTGTAGTTATTTCTAGGTTTTTATGATTCCTTGGTGACCATATGCAGGGCGAGCGTGAAACTCCATAATTGCTTTGTCGTCTAGTTCGTTAGGCAGGCTAGTACTAGATCGTCCGGCTATCATCAAGAGTTTGGTTGCTAGCACTAGGTCTCCATCGTTATTTCCTTTGAGAATCACCTGGGTTTCTTTAGGTACTAGGACGTTATAGTCTGGTCGTCAGCTGAGAGCGTCAGCTCTGCTATTATCTGATCCTTTGCGGTGGATGATTCAGAAGTTAAATTCTGATAGGAATTCTGACCATCTAATCTGTCGTTTATTCAACACTTTTGAAGTTGTGAAGTGTGAAAGGTTCTTGTGGTCTGAATACATAAGTACTTCGTGTGTGGTTCCTGAGAGCTTAGGTCTCTATTCCTTGAAGGCTTCGATAATTGCCATAAGTTCCTTATTGTGAACCTGATAGTTAAGTTCAGGTCTGTGGAGCTTGCGAGAAAAGAAGGCATATAGGTGTAGTCGTCCTTCTGAATCTCGTTGAGATAATTATGCTCCTATCGCATAGTCGGATGCGTTAGGTTCTACTTCGAACTGTTTTGTTGGATCTGGAATGCTTAAGACGGGCTCGCTGGCGATGAGGTCCTTGATCTTCTGGAATGCTGTTCGTTATAGTTCTTCCCATATAAATAGCGTGTCTTTGCGGCTGAGGCTTGTGAGAGCTGCGTTGATTTTGCCATAGTCTTTGATGAATTTGCGGTAGAAGTTGACGAAACCTAGAAATCCTTGGACTTCCTTGAGGTTGTTGGGTACCAGCTATTCCTTGATGGCTTTGACTTTGTTTTCTGACATACAGACTTTTCTAGGGGTGATAGTGAATCCGAGGTATTCCACCCTCTGTGTGTGGAATTCGCTTTTCTTAGGTTTAACTAATAGCTTGGCTTCTTAGAGGGCTTATAAGACGTGGTGTACGTCTTCCTTATGTTTCTCAAGTGTTGATAAGAAGATGAGGATGTCGTTAAGATAGACTACTACGCAGATGTCGACGTATTTGCGTAAGACTTAGTTGATCATATTTTGGAATGTTGCAGGGGCGTTAGTGAGGCCGAAAGGCATGACGAGGTACTCAAAATGTCCTTTTCGTGTTCTGAAAGCAGTCTTCTATTCTTCTCCTTGCTTCATTCTGATCAGGTTATAGGCTCCTTTGAGGTTGAGGGCTGTGAACCAGTTGGCTCTATAAAGGAGTCGTCTCATCTTGTCGATAAGTGGCAGTGGGTAGCAGTTCTTAATCGTCATTTCGTTTAGCATGCGGTAGTCGACGTATAATCGTAGTTTTCCGTTCTTCTTAGGTACGAACAGGATTAGGCTTCCTGCTGGTGACGTTAAGGGTCTGATATATCCCTTCTTGAGATTTTCTTCAAGATACTTATCTAGGGCTTCTATCTCTGTCTGGTTGAGTCTGTAGATTTTGTTAAAGCGTGGTTCCTTCCCTTTTTTGAGGGGTATTTCGTGGTCGAAACTGGTGTGTTCAGGCAGTCTGGTTTCTAATTCGGCTGCAAAGAGTTTCTCGTAAACTCTGTATTCTTCTGGGATAGACAGAAGTGGATCGTTCTTCTGCTTGAGATCTATCGTTGTTAGTGGTTGTGATATGGCTTCTTCTGCCTTGAGGTAACAGAGGTATCGTTTTGCTGTTCCTTGTCGTATTGATTCGTTTGAGGCCTGATTCTTATAGGGCTGCTCAGGGACTGAATCATCGTGGTCCCAATGGAGTTAGCCTTTGCTCTAATCTATCTGTGGGTTGCTTGTTTGTAGCCAGGGTAGTCCTAGCACTATGTCGTATATTCCTAGATCGGCAATGTCGAATTGGATTCTTTCTTTTCGATTCAGGTAGCTCATCTCGAGGGGCGCAGTCTTATTATAGATGGTACCTCCTTCGTACTTGAATTCTTCTCCTTCTGCCGTGTGTAACTGATATGGTCGTTCTTTTCCTCCCCATCGTATTTCTAGCCTATTGATAGCTTGGGGGGCAATGAAGTTTGCTTCAGCTCCGCTGTCGATCAGCATAAGTGTTATCTGCTGATTAATAGTAACTTTGAGTTTAATATTACCCTTATATCCTTATGACATTTAATAAATAGATCTTATGCTTATTGCCTGTTATGATCTGTCGTTAGTAGGTAAGTCTAGTTTTTTAACTGCTCTAGTTGTCCTAGGTAGGTGATCTGCTTTCCTTCTCGTCATGCTTTTGCAAGGCTGTTTTCGCAGATCCTAACCTGTGGGGGTCTAGGTCTGTTCTTTGCGATTCTCTAGGTTTATGCCTTTTCTTAGTAGTAAACTTAGCATTCGTCTTATTAGCATTCGTCCTATTTTATGCCGTCATCATATTAACATCTCATAGGGAACTAAGGACTAGGTCTGAAGACTGTAAGGTTGTCTTCAAATAGTACTATAGTCCATCCAATCATAATGGAGGTTAAGTAGATCTCATGGATAGGTTTGTCGTTATGTCTCCTGGGGTAGAACTAGTAGTCATGCTTTTCTCCTATGTGTTCCTTGCATTTGTCGTGGAAGCACTGGGGCTAGAAGAGAGTTTGGTGAAGCTGGTGGTTGCTTCTCAGTGCGGGATGATCTTCCGTGTGTAGCTGAGGGGTGTAGCCTCGGTCTCATTAGGCTGCTGAGGTGCTATAGAAGTAGCGTTATTGCTTGTCTTAAAGCATATCGATTTCTTGGTATCTCAGGAGTTGCTTGATTCTTCCTTCCTGGTCGTCAGGTTCCTCTTCAGAGCTGGAGTCGTCCATACTGGGGGTGAACCTATAGGTGATCTCTGTCTGAGCGCGTTGTTGGATAACGTTGCGAGGTTCATCTGAGTTATAGGAAGAGCTTTCTCCTTCTCTGAAAGTCCAGTTGTTAGTCATACTGAGGAGTTATTATTCTATCAGAGGATTATATTAGTGTTCTGGTTCTTCTTCTGATTCTTATTATTAGTATAGTCTTACTTATCTGTCGTCTTCTTACTAGATTAGCTCTATTTCCTTCTGGATTTGTTGTTCTTCATAGTGGAGTTGTTAGCTAGTTATGCGGGGGGTGATTAGTTCTAGTCGCTGGATTCATAGCATCTCGTTAAGTTGTTCAACTGGTTTTCTAGCCACTTTGCTGTTACTGGAATACATTATTGCCAGGGTCCTAGGATGAGTGTCTAGGATGGTCATATTGTAACCAGACCGTCTAGGGTTGCTATCCCTTAGGTAGTGTCCTGATATTTCTTTGTCTTTGAGGTGAATTTGGCAGTTGTCGTCGTAGCATCCGGTCTATAATTAGGATGCATATAGGGCTTTTGTAATTATGTTGACTTATCGAGGTTGTTCTGCCACTGGTTTCCAGGGAAGCTTCTTAGGCTGTCTGCAGTCTTTGGCGATATAGCCTTACTTGTTGCAGTTGTAGCACTTAGGGTTCCAAGGTTTTTTGTTATTAGGTTTGGTCATCATGCTGAGATCTATAGGTCTGCTGTGTTATCTATAGGCGGTGCTCTGGCAGGTGTTGTTCCAGTTGTTGCAGGGTCTGTTGTCGTTCCGCTGGCTGTTGAACTTCTGTTGAGGCTGCTATTAGTACTTACGTCCTAAATTTAGGTTTTGTCGTTTCTCTCCTTATTCCTTTCGTCGTTTATAGAGGCGGTTGTCAACCTTAATAGTATGTTCGACATAGGCGAGGAAGCTAGGAGGTGTCTCTAGTTTAGCTATTTCGTCTTTAACCTCATCCTTAAGTCCTTGATAAAAGGCAAAAACTTTGCTTTCGTCGGTTATATGGAGTCTTGCAGCTAATCGCCTAAACTCTGCGGCGTAGAGTGTAGCTGACTTAGTTTGTCGTAGGTGGGACAGGTCTCGCTCAGCCTGTCTTCGTTTATTGGGGTCAAGGAAGAGAGATTCTAGGGCCTTGATATAGCCTGTGAAGCTGAAGAAGATGTCCTTGACTTCTTAGCTGTATTTTTCGACAGGGTTGTCAAGCTATTCCTGTTGAAGGGGTTCAAACCAGGTAAGGGCTCGTCCCTAAAGGAAGGTGGCTGCGTGTACAACACGTTCAGTGTCGTTCTGGAAGGTGTTTATATAGAAGGCCTGGTAGGTTCGAACTTATACCAGGTGTCCTTTGAGTTATCCTAGGGTCCTATCGAAAGTGGAAGGCGTGTTAAGCTTGAGGCGTTCTCGTCCTTCGACTGGGGCGGATATAACGTTAGCGGCAGCTTGGAGGGTGGCGACTTCTTTCTCCAGATCCTGGTTCTTGCGGGCTTGTTCCTGGAGTTCGCTAAGGGCTGCTGCGTTCTGGTTGAACATTTCGCGCATTGCCTTAAAGTCGCTGTTGGTCTTGTTGAGCTGGCGTTTAAGTTCTTTGGTGTCGTCCTCGCTATCTGAGTCGTCCTTCATCTTCTGGTCTCCTAGTTCCTGGGCTAGGTTTTAGGTGGCTCGTCCTCCTGAAGTGGACGAGGATCCTAGGGTAGGCGACTTAACAGAGGCGTGGGAAGACATTGTCGTTTATTACTGTTAGTAGGAATCAATAGTCAACTTACTGAACAGGAGCAATCAAAGTGTTACGGTCAGCTATCTGACAGTAGGGTCTGCTAACAGAAGCTGGGGATTAATACGTTCTAACAGTACACTAGGTCGTGGTCGTAGGTCGTAGTTCGTAGGCTGTAGTAGATCGGGTCTTCAGAGGCTAAGGTGATCAGTCTTAGACTCAACAAGTGATTCGCAGTGAAGGTAAGCTGAGAGTATCCGTGAGGATGAATACTAAGTTGATTGCTGAAGAGCTATGGAAGTCTGACCATAAGCCGGGCTCAGGGTTATACTATATACAAGTTCTGAACAGTGCCCTTGTCTCTTGTTACCGTTCCTAGTCCTGACGGGTTCCGTTCACGCCAAGTACGGCTTCTGTATTCTTGGCGTATGGATCTAATCTCTTATCTTATCGTCATGTGACTTGTACCATAGTTCTTCCGTTTCCGAGTGAGTCCCTGTTGTTCCCGTGATCCTGCAGTACAAATGTCCTGTCCTAGCCGCCCGACGCCTGAGTGGGTCGTTCAGCTGTTATCCTTGTTTACGGGTCGTAACATAAGGCTTCTCTCTGGCTACTAGACTTTTCGAGTAGCTATATTTAGTACTTACGCTTTATATCTCTCGTTAAAACTAAACAAAGATAGTAGATTTCTGATTAACTTAGACCTATCTGTCACGCAAGAAAAGATTTCTAATTAATATTTATAAGAAACGAATAACGCTTATTAGAAATTCTGCTAGGCGAGACTTTAATAACTACTGACCAGATGGTTCAGTACGACTATTTAGCGCCTCAATAACGAGGGGGGTGACCAGCGGTCGAACTCTGGTCCACCACCTTGCACGCAGATTAAGAGATCCATCCAAGATGGGAAGGCTTTAATGCAAATTATTAAGCAGTCTACGAATGCTGAACATAGAAATTCGTTAAAATTACCCAGACCTTCCAACATAACCGTTTGTTGCACTATGGAGTAATATTGTTGAGCAAAGATAACTTCACACATCAATTCCTATAACACCAAGCTATTGCTTCCCCTGCTGAGCCACTAATTTCAACGCAGATTTTCTAAGGTCGTTTTCAATGAGAGATGATCAGCAGAGACTCAGGAAAGCTCGCCCAATATTAGGCTTATTGGTCCACGCATCAAAGTCGGCTGCAAGGGTTCTTTCTTTATGACTTATGGAAAAAATGCACCTTTCCTAACGCATGTTTTTGAATGACCCTTCACAACCTGCCGCCGAGGTTTTAACAATCTGTCGTTAAGTCATAACATCGCGAAAGATATATAACTGGTAAGAGCCACCCCTCCAGGAGCAGGATAGCTAACACTGAGACGTCTTTTTCTCAGACAACATGCTTGTTGTCTTAGATACGATATGTTGCTCTTTATGCTAACAGGCATAGTAACAGCAGCCGGCTAAATAAGTCTTAGGCTTTAGGGGTATTTATAAACATTCTTCCTAACTGTTAGCAGCAATACATCCTCCTTAACATATATTAGAGTTTTAGACTGACTGATATAGTGGATTCAACGTTATAGATTGAAACGCCGCCTAATTGCAGTCGCAGTTCTAGAGTAGGGTGACGCTACTCTCGCATGAATAGACATCTGGAGGGCGCCTGCAACGACGATGACGGCTGTGGCTGGGAGCCTCGCGGCAAATCTGGAATCGCAAATAGGGTAGATACTTAGCTGTGTCGCAATTCTCAGCTGTTGCTCAACGTCGTCTAGGCAGGGTCTGGCACTGAGGGCCTGTCTCTAAGTGATATAAGTAAAGACTGAGGAGATAATAGATATAAATAATCCTAGTACTCTAAGCATAATAGCAATAATAGCTTTATTTCAAAGCGATATGTTGAACGATCGTCCTTTCTCGCGATATTAGAGAGGCAGAAGGAGAGGTTTTAGAGATAGGCATAGACTCCTGGCATCGCCTAAGTGCTGAAGTTTAAATACTGTCGAGGGGGCCTTCTAGTTTTTAATGTTGCAATAAGAAGAATTTGCACTGCGTTTGCTCTCCTGCATATCAGTTGATAGCAGTATGAAATTATATTAACTATACTATAAAGCTTATGCTGCACTGTTTGTAACTTTACGCTTGATGGTCCTTTTAGGAATACTTTCTAATTTATCTATTATCGACATGAGAGAGTAAGTTCATCAGATTCAAGAGAAACTCTCCTAAGCTTAATATTCTTAAGAGGGAAGTAGGTAGTTATTAGGTCAGACTTAGACACTATTACACGATAGGCTTAGGCTAAGTCGGCCTAGCAATAAATAACACCTATAGACGACAGGGTGAAGCATTAATAAATAGTGTGGTGATTTTAGACTTCACTAAGCCGCCTCACTGCAAATAGGGCAAAAACTTTATTCAGAGATCTTCACATTCAGGTCGTATCTTAGTGCATACGATCGAGCAGTGTGGCGCAGCTGAGCCCCCATGAAATCCAGGAGCTCTGGTTTTAGGTGGGTTTTCTTGCTCAATCCATCCAAAGCGTTTTACATAACGTCTTATATTGTTCAAACAACAGCGACGAGGAAGGGTAATTAGGGAGTACTTGACAATCGTAATTAGGAACAGCATGGCTTGCCTTGTTGGCCTGAGATTGCGCCCTTGTAATGGAGTGAAAGTGGGCCCCGTCCGCGGCTAGGTGCTGCAGAGAAGGGATAACGAGATGGGAAACATTCGCGACTTCGGTCCACGAGGAGGGAATGCTTGTAATGCCGTCTTCTTCTCTGTTTTCTTCAACAGAGGCCCGCTGCGAGCCGTTGAGTTCTTTTGGGTTAACTTATGGCTAATTTCAAGGAAAGCGGCGATTCGAAAGGGCAAAGCAGCAATAATTGCTTCTAACGCCAGCCGTGCTTCAGTGTGCAAGCTATCAAACAGGAGAAGAAGGGTACCTTAGCGGTGAAGAAGAACGTAGCGATAAGATGACGACTTTTGGCGAGGGGCATCAAGGAGAAATATCAGCTAAGTTCACCTCTCAGTCCTCCAGAACCGTCCGGGGTAAGTGGGGACAAGCCTACCTCGACAAGGGGGGGGGATTTATTTGCTCGTTGTCCCCCCCCCCCTGTCACACCAAAATGCTTCTCTTGACAAGGGGGACAATTTTTGCTCGTTGTCCCCCCCCCTTGCCCCCTGTCACACTAAGATGCTTAACTCCTCTTGATAGCCAATAGTTCAGCGAGAGCACGACAAGGGGGGCGAGCAACCACTGTCAATTGCTCGCCCCCCTTGTCGGTGGCCGCTACATAGTAGAAGTCAGTGTTGTTGCGATGGTCCAAGCGCCGAAGCAACCGTCAATCGCTGGAACACCCAAGCCAGATGAGAAGAATTCCGCCTTCCGACCACATTATTTCTGC